CTTCTCACCCCAGATTTCGCAGAATGAGCATGTGATCGGGGAATAGTCCAATATCGATTCACCCAAATAAGAGGGTGTACCTTACTTGTGGTTTGAGGATCCAGTCTCCGAGTTTGCTCAAGGGTCAAACTCTGCCATGAAAGATTTGTAGCGAATATCAAACGCTTTAAAACTTGAAGTGCGAAAGTCTGACACTGAATACGTGGATCAAGAATTTCAAGACCCCCTTTGACTTTGGGTTGGATAAGAATCCTCTAAGCCACTTTTGGGATCGTATGAGGTGTCTGATGATGACCTCGCCAAAAAAAAGCAATGAGTTGTCTTTGCAATTCTTTGGTAGACGCTTTGTTTAATGACCACAAAACATATTTATACCAAATTGAAGTCAATATCACATTATTAATTATCAGAACTCTGCCAAACAAAGACGTATGTTGATTTTTTCATTGTCTCATTCTTTCTAGTGAAGGTGAAGATATCCACAGGTGATTTGAGTTTGGTTTCCCTTGTGTTGTAAGGACCACTCCTAGCACCCTAATTGGAGCCTTTTGTGGCATCCATTTGATCTTTGGGTACTTCGGTGGTCTATCCTCTTCAGAATGAATCCACCACCCTTGCGTTTTATTTCCCCAATTAACTAACATATCCGATAACAGAGAGAATTTATCTATGATTACTTTGATTTTCGTAAAATTGGACGAAGAAGCCTCCATCATTATAGTTAGGTCATCCGCAAACATAAAGTAAATGAGAATTGCTTCCTCTGGAATGCCAACAATCGCAAGCCTCTTAAGGTTGCGGTTCTCCCTCAGATTAGCCCTTATGCCTCTAGGATAATTAAAAAAAGAAAAGGAGCTAATGGATCTCCCTGCCTTACCGATCTTTGAAGTCGAATCTCGGGGGAAGGTAGACCATTAACCTGAACTCGAGTTGTTGCATTGGAATGAAGTATTTGAACCAATTTTCTTATCTTAGGGCCAAAATCCAGTTTAGCTAAGCATGCATCTAAAAAATACCAATTTACTTGATCATACGCCTTTTCGAAGTCTATGAAGATGAATACAGCGTTGTGCTGGTTTTGGCGAGATAACTTAACCATCTCATTAATTAGCAATATATTATGTTATATGTTTCTCCCATGAATAAGACCTGTTTGGGAAGGATGGATAATATTTGTTATTACAGGGACAAAACAATATGCAATGACTTTGGCTAACATTTTGTAAATCACCGTAAGTAAGGTAATAAGTCTATAATTCCTTATATTTGTGTTATCCCCTTTTTGTACAACAGAGTTAGAATTCCTTGCCCTACAATCTCCCCCATGTTTCCAGAATCCTACATATAATTATAATATTCCATAAGATCATCAACGAAAAAATGTCACATAATCTCCAAAAATTTCATAGGAAGACTGTCAATTCCTAGGGTTTTTTTCTCATTCATTTGCAGATTAGCAGTCCAGATTTCTTCTTTGGTGATTCGTACTTTCAGTTTTCTTATTTGGTGATTGGTATTTTTAATTTTTTTATTTGATGATTGGTACTTTCAGTTTTTCTTTTTGCTTTTAAGATAAGTGTTGAGTTATAGGAGCAAAAAAACTGTCTCTCTTGTTCCGCTATTGTAGAATCAACCGTGAAAATGAAAAGTTTTTTTTAAAAATCATATGCTACCTTAAGACTTCCAGCAAACATGAAAGGCTCAGATTGCGTGGACGGTGGATTTAGTAGCATCTACCAAGGCTTCAATACTCGTTCTCCTGGCCCTTGCATGAGCAATAGAAAAAAAGGAAGAGTTCATTTGCCCTTCTGACCTATGTCTGGATAATTTATCGCGGATGGGATGACCTTGCCAACGTTGTTGAGCTAGAGCTGGGTAGCACGGCGTACGTGTACGCGGGTTACGCGTACACGCGTACACGTATTCCTGTACACGGCACATATGCGAGTACACGTACTCCCGTACGTGGTAATACGTAAAAAAAAAAAAAAAAAAAAAAAAAATCAAAAAAATCTGAAAAAAACTTACGTTATGAACAATCATATTTCGAATAACTTTTGCCAGAGACTCATCGCCAAATTCTGTACCAAACTCGAGTTAAAAATCAAAGACACAAAAAACAAATAAATATAAATAAAAAATAAAAACAATTAGGAAAAAAAACAGAAAAAAAAACAAACTTCCGTAACAAATATATGTTATGCAGAAACATGATACAAACAACTTTTGCATGGGAGTCATCCCCGAATTCCCAATCAAACTCGAGTAAGAAATTAAAAACTAAAAAAAAATGTAATATTATCATAATAATTTAAAAATTATTTATTCAAGGTTTTGGAATTTTAAATCAAGCTTGGTTGGGAATTCGGGTATGACTCCCAAACAAAAGTTGTTGTTATCATTATTTTGCACAACATACGTTTTTTCAGATTTTTTGGATTGTTTTTTTATTTTTATTTTTTAAACGTACGAGTACGAGCGATTTCGGGTTCGTACGTGACGCTGGAGTACGTACGCGTACGCACTGCGTACGCATACGGGGTGCTACCCAGAGCTAGAGAAAGAAGTTGGTTTTTAAGATTCTAGATATCGACAGGTTGGAGAAATATTTCCAGATACTATTATTGTTCATAGTTCATAATTTGTTCCCGAATTTTCATTTCTCATATGTGTTTTTGTTTAGCTATTAGCTTTCAAAAATCATTGGATTTTTTGGCATGAAAAACCAAACCATTATTAAACCAAGATATATAAGAGTCCCGCTTATCTTTAGTGGAATGCCAAAATTTCCAAACATCTTGAATACAGGATTTAAATTTTAGTCGCTTAAGAAGGGAATAATTGAGTTTGTAAAAACCTCTACCTTGATCTGGTTTCTTCCGGAATGAAAGTAAAATGACACACATCTTGTCGTTCGCCCCTGACCACGGGCTTTGAGGAAAGATATTTACCCCTACTAAGGCACAATTTAGATCTTCCGACATAAGGATCAAGTCTGGATCTAGACTGATGGGGGGAGCCATAATTCCTAATACAGGTAAATAGACATTATTGTGGAAAACAACATAGTATGTATCATAAAGATTTTCAGCTTCACATAATTGTTGAATGATGAGTTCATCCTCTTCTATATATGAGGGGCATGGCGAAGGGATCCTCCATCTATTTAACCATCTATCCGGGGCCGCATTGAATTCCCCTGCGATTATAATCGGTATGCCTTTTGGAATATGATTACGAATATTGTGAAAAAATTCCTTCCTTTCCTGTACATCATTAGGGCCATATATATTAAGTACACATACGACTTCTATTTCCAACATCACTCAAGCAGAAACCCAGCTGCCATGTTTCTGATCGGTCTCCCAATGGATAATATCCACCCTAGAACCTAGAGGAACCCAAATGGCCACCCGCGCAGACCCACTATTCTTCACATAGGCGTGATATTTCTGATGGGGCCAGACCAAGTTATGAGCTCGATTATGCCAGGGGAATCTGTGAGGTGGGTCTCTTGAATACAAATCAAATCTGGCCAAGAAAGTCCCCCTACCCCTCTTAGTTGCTCCACAATTGCCCTTCGTTTAACGACATCTGCTGTAGCCAGACCATTGACATTGAGTGACCTAAGATTGAGATTTGCTGCTAGGGTAGCACGATGCCAAGTAGGATTTTTCTCATAAAACACCTGCAGTGCTTCCATCTTTGCAGTTTAAATTCTAACACCGATGACTTATTAAGTCATTTATTCCATTCTACAATCTTACCCAATTTCCTCCGTCTAAGTCAAATGAGGAAGTGAGCAACCCTCTGTGAAGAATGGAACAGAGGGCAAATTATACTTCATCAAAATGACCATAAAACATTGGTCTTTATCTTGACAGGGTAGACGCACTCAAGATTCGGCCAGTTTCAGGCCTGTTCGTTTTTGGACCCGATACCTATGAAACCACGCGTTCATTGAACGCTGGTTTTGCGTTCAGAAATTGAACGGAATGCACGCGCGTTCAATGAACGTTCAATGAACGGGACCGAACACGGAGTTCAATTCCGCGCGGAAAAAAAAAAAAAAAAAAAAAAAAAAAAAAAAAAAAAA